TGGCCCGATTGTTCTACCTTCGGAACGTTGTTCGATCTTTTTCTCGATGAAATGCACGGCGAGAATGTGTCTCGAAGCTTAACGTACGAATTTGAACTTTCGCGAGATTCGTGGTATCATGTGAGTCCAGTATTAACCCAGTAGATACTCGTTTTCCGAATACGAACGCGTTTCATTTGAAATTTTAATTCGAAATCGATCCCTCGACGGCGATCCGTATTTCGTGTCCCGTTACGCGTGTACGACGATCGAGGAAGAAAAGAGAAGAAGGAACGGGAAAACGCTATTTCGTTCGTCGCCGCGAGAAAAACTTCTTTTTTCCAGTCTTTAATTAGCAGCGGTGTTCGCCGTTTAATGAGCGGTCGGGAAGGCGGTCGTCAAGCACGCAGAAGTTTCAGCTGCTCCTTCGCTTTGAAGCTTCTTTCATTAAAGCCATGAATATCGCGGGAAATTCTTCGTCTTCACCGAAAATAATCGGATCATCCGTCTGACCGAGCACCTTCCCTGTCTACTGCGTACTGACACCGCTCGCTCCGCTGTCCGTCCGGTCGTGACGAATTTTCTACTCTCTTCGCGATCCCTCGGATCCTGTTCTTCCGCGCGAACAGCTTTTTTTTCCGCGCCGTCGGTGCCCGTAAGTTTCCTCGGTAACCCGAACATATTTCGAATGTGGCACAGGTTCGCCGGGCAACGCGGACACGCTGGAGGTGGCGGATGAGATTTTAGAAGTAAATGGCAGCACGTTGGAGAACGCCAGCCAGTCCGAAGTGATTCAATATATATACGAGGTACTTAACGTTTATTTGTCACCGAAATTCCGATTCACGTCTGGTCACAGCCGCGGCTGTGTTCGCAGTAGCAAGACCGTTTCGAGAATCGCTGCGTTGCGATTACGTCTCGATTTTTCACTTTAGAACCACCGAGCATTCGATACCTACGTTCTGTAATTTTCATAAAAATGTTAAGAGAAGTACATTCCATTCGATTTCTACTGATTACACGGTGTAACGAAACTATTCATTTTTAAACATAACTTTCCTGTCGATGATTCCTTTATGGAAACTATAAGACCGCGTTCCTCAAGGTTTCAATCGATTTCCATTTCAATTCGCGTATCACCGAGTCAACTTGTTTAATAACTTCTCGAAGAAGCGTCTGCACGTTTTCAATAATGGTAAAAGTAGAACTCGCGATTGGATGAAATCGAATCGAGAATCGAACCGTCCGGCGATTCTACTGCTAACTGATCACGGTTGAATCGATTTCGATGATACGTACCGCGCTCTCAACTTTACGTCCCGTCGATTAACGGAATCGTTTTCTTTCCTCAGTGCATCAAGTCCCGAACAATATGTCTGCGGGTCCGAAGAAGAAGCGGAAGCAAGCGGGGTAAGTGTCCATCGGAAACTTTTTCATTAGTATAATTCCGCGCGGCGAGGAACAGGGAATAGTATCGTAGCTGGCCGAGCAAACGTCTCGAATCGCTTCTCGTTAGGAGCGGCCGCAAAGCGAGGGAAAAATCGATGTGCAAAATGGACCGTTAAAGAGGATAAACGTGTCACGTCCAACGATTAGAAGTACCGAGCGTTATCGATTTTCAGTGGCCGATCGCGGCCGTTACGATAGTTCCCGTTAATACGATAGGACGGCGTACGATTAAACATACAAACACCGCTATTATTCTTCCGAAGGCTCCTACGTGATCTCGCCTAGTCGTTTTTACCTGATCGCACGGTAAAATTAACTCTTTCGCAATCTAGAGGCGACACTCGGTCATCATCCGATTCAACAGAATTATGAAATTTAACGTACAATATTATACGTCGTATAACATGAAAATAAACTCTTTCTTAACCCTTTGCAGACGAACATTTCGGTGAGATGAAATTTCCGTATTTAGGAGACTAAGTCGCATACAAATGATTTGATTAATGAAACAACAGATCGTAGTTTCCATATTTTCTGTTGCTTTAGCAATTGATATATAAGTTAGTTACATCTGCTGAAGGTTTAGTATGGTTCAAAGAATCTTCGTTCGCGAAGGGTTAATTTAAGCAAGATTCGCGTTGAAAGATCGGTTCCATTGGAAAGTCATGAATAATTGTAATGAAAAGTATTCAGAGGATAGAGTTAATAATAGAATTACCGGAGGGCTTAAAATATTGTTGATTCCTTCTTTCACGACAGAATTATTGGAAAGAATTCTGTAGAGAAATTAGAGGAACTGAATTTCACTGGTAGGTAGTGTCTGAATTAACGCGTTCACTGCCAAGAGAACCTTGAACGTTTCAGAATGAATCATTGATGATTCGGTATCACAGTTGTCACAGTGTTATCTAGTTACTTGGGTTACTAAATATTTTCGTTTCGTATTAATCTGCTTATTGCAATTGTTTCCAAGTAATTTGGAAGCCCCGGTCATCGGCGACCGCAGCGGCAGTCGACGTGTTAACGAAATTCTCCGGCGTAATTTCCATTATCATTCACATTGTAATAATAACGAGTTTTACGCGCGTCAAGAAATAATCTGTCACTTTATCCGATAAATTGGCGATGTAGGTTAAATTTGGAATACATTCTCGGGTAATTTTATTCCCGTGGAGGGGATGACGCTGAGCGTTGAGGACCGGCAGACAGAAAAACACGAAAGTGCTTGGTTAACGTAGAGAAATGGCGGAATAGTTACTTTTGGCACGGGCCCAGCCAGTATCTTCCGCGGACCACATGGTTGTATTATAATTTATCGTTTATTACATTAGTACACCCTTAATTCCGCGCGATTTGCTTGGAAAATAAACTCTTCTGTATCTCCGCATCATGCACGGACTCTTTCTCCGGCGATTACGTAACGTCGAAGAGATGCGGCGCTCTCTTACGTATCGACGAACGCGACAGATCTCCGTAGAATATTAAAAAAATATTCCACGATATCGAGATACCGTTAAAACCCAGTATTCGATACTTCAAACGAAAACAACATTTCCGACAAACACGACCGTATGCGACACAAAGCACAGAGAACCTCGGAAGAACTCCAAGAACTTAATACCGTCCCATTCCTGTTACACCAAAACCCTCCAAAATCTCCATTCAAAATTTCCCGAATCATCGTTCAGCGATCGCCCGTTGATCATCGAATCCTCGCAGCCCGACACCTCCAGTACCAGCGTCCCCATCCCGAAACCCCCGAAATCCAGCCGGGTCGAATCCCCAAAATGTCCCACGCGCTAGGTGAACGCGGGTCGCGTGTGTCGCCGATCGTTGCAGTCACGATTCCGTCCCGAACGGGGGGGACAGGTAAATCGTCGGCCGATTTCGTGTTTCCTCGTGCGATTCCGGCGTTCGCCAGGTAAAACGTTCAGGTCGCCGCTCGTAATCGTGACGCGGACGTAGGCGAGGGTCCAAGAAGGAAAGAGGGATGTGGGACGGGAGGTAGACAGAGAGAAAGGGAGAGAGAGAAAGAGAAAGAGACGGGGAGAGACGGAGAGAAAGAGAGATACTCAGTAGGTGGGTAGGCTAAAGAGAGGGGCACAGCAGCGAGGAGAAAGAGAAAGAGAGGCCCGGGGTACCAGTTGAATAGGAGGAGAGCCTTCCTCGCGTGGGGAACGGTTCGCCGCGGAGAGGAACACGGCCGAGAGAGGGTCCCCGTCGCGGCGGAGGAACACCGAGCGAATCTAACCTTCGAATGTATCCGCTGTCACGCTCGGTCCTCGCTAGTACGGAACCGTCCATACGTGCCAG